AGGGGCCAACATTTCCTCTACTCAGAGTTAGAAATCCTATATAATAAAAGGCTAATATGCAAATAGACTAAACCTCGGAACAACCGAACAACTGGTCGCTATGACTTGCGCTGACCACCAGGGGGCATGCGGGGAACATGGCAGGTGTCGGCCGCGGTGGGATGGTGGAGCAGGTGAGTGGGGGTGCCAGACCAAGGCGGGGTGTTGGTCGCTGTCATTGGGCAAGCCTCTGGTGGTTACTGAAAATTCTTTGCTCCCATGTGTGTGTCTCGGTCCCGCCCATGTCGCGGTCCTGCCCGGTGCTCGCACCTGCTGCCAGTGCTGGCCCTGCTTGCACCCACTGCTGGCGCTGGAGCCGCAGCTCACATCCACTACCGGAGCCCGGTGCCAGCACCAATCGCCCCTCAGGGCTTCTCCACCTCCCCCTGATCCTGAGGGGAGATTGGGGCCGGCAGCGGCTTCTCACACCCGCTCCCAGCACCGGAGTCGCTGCTTACAACCACTGCCTGCGCCGGCCCTGCTCTCAACTGCTGCCGGTGCCCTGCGCCGGTCCCAATTGCTCAGCACCATCAGCGGGTGTGAGCGGCGATTGCCCCTGAGGGCTTCTTCACCTCCCCCTGCTCCTAAGGGGCGATTGGGGCCGCACCCGCTACTGGCACCGACCCCAGTCGCTCCGCACCTTCAGCGTGTGGGAGTGGGAGCGGGGCTGCTGCCAGACAGGAGACCAGGGGCTCTGGCAGGAGGGGCCGGGCGGGGGTGCGGAGGATGGGCTGAGACCCACCACTGTGCCTACCACAGCCTCGAGGCCCACAATGCCTTTCAAGGTGCATGAATTCGTGCACTGGGTCCCTAGTAATGAAATAAAGAAGTTACAGACTGTTAAGACTACTACCGATTAGGTCCTGGCAGCTCACCTTGAAGGCTGTGTGGTTTCCTAGCTGGCAATTAAGATACATGGCGTAGTGTTTTCATAAGCACGTTCCCAGAAAATCATCCGTCTCCTCACAGCTGACATACTTCCTCTGGCCCAGCTCCCAGGCTGATGGCCTCACGTGGAGGGCTTTGCTGTGCTCCTTGCAGCGGTCAGTGTCCCCCTCAGCACTGCATCCCAGCGCCTGCTGGTTTTGATTTGACTGTTGCTCAGCCCAGTGCTTGCTCTGAAGCGCGAAACCGTTTCTGTGCAGTGGGCCGTTTCCCGTGGGGTGGGCCGTTGCCCGTGGGGTGGGCCGTTGCCCGTGGGGTGGGCCGTTGCCCGTGGGGTGGGCTGTTTCCGGTGGGGTGGGCCGTTGCCCGTGGGGTGGGCCGTTGCCCGTGGGGTGGGGTGCTGCCTGAGGTCCCCCTGCCTCTGGCTGCCGTCTGTTCCTGCCCTGACACTGCTGTTCTCTCCCGTCCTGAAATTCCACCTTTAGAAGGACAGACACATGGGGAGCCAGGCGCTGGGGAGTAGGAGACCCTCACTAATGCAAAGGAGACGCTTTGAAGCTGTTCAAGTCTGCCAGGGGCCCTTCTCAGTGAGTCCCAGGTGTCCTGGTTCGGATCAACAGGGAGAGATTAGTGGATGAAAGGTCTGTGTTCAGACTAAAACATTTTAAAGAGAAACAGTCAAAGCCACCATGGACTCACACTCTGCTCCCCAGTGTCTCTGCTGTCCATGAGAGAGCCGGCGTTTTCCTACTGGGAGCCCGGAGGCCGAGCAGGCGCTGCCCTTTGCAGAGAGGTTCACCTCATTGTCCCGCGGTCAGGCCCATTAGAGGCGCTGCGGGGAGCCAGGGGCCGGAGCAGGTGGCTTGGGGCCGGTCTGCCTACGCAGATTGGCGCGGCCTGGGGCCTGTGCGGAGCTGGCTGCCCGGGGCCCCTCTCCACAGGTGCTCTGGAGCCACCCCTGCTCGCCCCCAGGACAGGACAGTGGCAGGTGCTGCCACGGAGACGCCCTCAGTCCCAGGTTGAGAGCTGACAGCCCCGCCACGACGGCCAGCGTCCATTCAGCTGGAAACCCAGCTCTCAGGGGCCTCGTTTCCCGTCCGCGACGGCGTGCCGGAGGGTCCCCAGGTGCGTCCCGGAGTCTGCTGTGCCCGCGCAGCGTCCGCTCTGGCAGGGCCGGGCCGCCTCCGTGGCTGCGGGGGGAGGAGGGGGGGTGGGGACCGGCTCTTCGCGGCAGCGCGTCTCTGCCCGTGACCCTCGGTCAGGGCTGGCGCCGAGTGATGGGTGTGTAACTGCTCTCGTGAGCTGACTTAGACTCGTGTTAGCTTCACAGGAAGTGGCGAGCACACAGAGGATGCCCGCACCCCTGCCATGCGTGTCCCCCTGGCCTTAGACCCACGTGAGTCGGTCTCCGATGGGCCTCTTCACTGAGGTCCACACTGTTTCCTTAGACCTGATCCGTCCTTTCTGTCCCAGGACACACCGCTGCCACCTGGTGGCGAGGCGCCGCGGGGTAACTCACGTGGGTCCGACTGGACCTCAGCGTATCGTTGGGCCGCACCCGCCACACTCAGTGCTGGCTCCTCGTGAAGTGTTCTCTTTAAGCGTCACAGGACTGACAAGGAGCGGGTACCCCTCCTCTGATGGCTGCCCCAAAGGCTGGAGCTTCCCGGTGGCTTTGTCTTGTCTCCCTGTGGGTTCACGGTGGAACCCCCTGTCCCGGGAGAAAAGGCGGGCGTGCGTCACGGACGGCACCTGTCGAGGACGGCAGGAGCACGCCTTTCGGGCTTTACCAACATGAAGGGCATGCGGTCTGCTCCCAGGCGTATCCTGTGTTCAGGAGCGGAGTTTGGTCCCCAGGAGGTGGACACGGTCTCCTCAGACTCCTCCCTCTAGGTGTCCCTACATCCAGTCCGCCCTGGGGCTCAGGACAGCAGAGCACTCAGGCCCAGCCCTCGGCCCCAGGTGCAGTGATTGCTCGCAGGCCTTGGGGCGAAGAAGGTGGGGAGAGGCCCTCGGCCAGCCCAGGGCCGGCAGAGGAATGTGTAGTTGGGGAGAAAGCGGGTGACACCGGCCCCAGTGCTGCTGCAACCCTTCCCTAACACTCCACGCCCCAAGTCCAGGTCCCCCACCCACCAGGTTCTCTCCCCCACACCCTTTAGCATCTCATTCTTCCTCCACACCCTGTGCCTCCGGGCAGCCGCACCTGCTGCGGGGGCACCGAGCAGGCCTCCTTTGCTCACTCAGAAGAGCCTGCTTCTCACTAGACTTCGTTTTATATTATTTGCTGCTAATACCAACATGAAATTTTAAAATCTAATGATAAAGTTGATGTTTGTTCAAAAGGCTCCATGATTTCATCTACATAAAGTGTCCACGGCAGATACGTCTGTAGAGATAGAAAGCAGGTCAGCTGTTGCAGGCCTGTGGGAGGTGGGGATGGGTGCAAGGCTTCTTTTGAGGGCGATGGAACATTCCAGAGCCACATAGCGGAGGAGGTTGCACAGCCTTGGGGATATACTAGCAGCCACTGGATTATGGACTTCGAAATGGCGAGTTTTATGGTATATGAATTATGTCATTTAACATTTGATGCTGGTTCATTGCAGAGATGTTTAAGAATAAAGTAAGAGAAAGGGTTTAAATCACCTCTATAATTTTCCAGATAACTAATAGTGGTGTTTGATAATGTGGCAGTTTTCGCTGTTGTCTTGTGTTTATTTTGCCTTTGGGTTTTGTTCCTACCCTTTCTGCTCGAGCCAGGAGCAGCCTGCTGGGATCTGCGAGGCCCTGGCCTCCCTTGTGCCCCAGGCCCACCGGACGTTCTGCTCCCAGCTTTCAGGAGGCGCATGTCTTTTTAAAATTATTATTATTAATATATTTTTATTGATTTCAGAGAGGAAGGGAGAGGGAGAGAGAGATAGAAACATCAATGATGAGAGAGAATCATTGATTGGCTGCCTCTTGCATGGCCCACACTGGGAATCGAGCCCGCAACCCAGGCATGTGCTCTGACCAGGAATCGAACTATGACCTCCTGGTTCATAGGTCGACGCTCTACCACTGAGCCACGCTGGCCGGGCAGGAGCCGCATGTCTTGAATGAGGGCAACCATTTTGTGTCTAAATTTTATAGAGTAAGAGAATGCAGAATATAAGTGGTGTCCTCATTTCTCAGTTAGGAGCAAGAGCAGGGCCTGGTTTTGTGGAAACGTCCCTGGGATGGGACATCCTGAATTTATTCACATGCTTGACGTGCAGAGGAAGTGCCCTGGGCCTCGTCCTTACGCTTGCACACTAGGTCCCAACTTGGGGGATGGGGGCACGGGCTCTGGAATCAGCCTCGTGGGCTATTTGAAACTTCATCTGCTTTTCCAAGAATATAGAGGACATCGTTTTACTCAGACACCCACCCCATTCTACCCAGGATAGTGCTCGGGGCTCAAAGAAACAAAAAATCCAACATCTGTATGAGTAGCAAACCTATTCAAAGAGAATCTTCACATTCCTGATGCCACGGGTGACTGCACGCCCGGGCGGGGGTGGGGTGACACTTGGCTCCTCCCACAGGAGTGTGGTTGTCCCGCCCCAACTCCGTGCGTGAGGAATACGTACGCTTCCAACCGCACGCTGCCCGGGAGGCCGGGGTCTTCCCACGTGGAATTGGCTAATGGTGCTTGTTTTTCTTCCGGGTGTATATTTATTCCACTGTTTCACACCATTTGTCAATTTCTAAGCAGTTAATAATTTTTATGCCTCTTTCAGATGTGTGTATATAGTACAAGTGTGTTTGATTTCCTGCGGTCTCTGTACATTTAAACAGTGCTGAGTGATGGCATGTGTGACATGCCCATTTAAAACTCCAAACCCAAACTGAAGCCTTCAGTTCTTTAGCAAAACCCGTGGACGGCCTTGCATTGCCTGCCTCTGCCCTGTGGCAGCGGCTTCTGTCCAGGCTCCCAGCGGGGCCGTTGGCCTCCCGGGGAGGTGCCCCTGCGTTTGCAGCACCGGCAGACCCGGGAGCCCGGCGGCGTTGCCACAGGGGAGCCGCGCGGTTTGGGGCGGTTTCAGAGACGAAAGATGTCCCTGCTGAATGGCGAGTCGGGATCGTTTGGTGAAAGGTGGCCTGGGAGAGTGGCGTCCGGCATGTGGCCAGTTTGGACCGCAAGTAGTAGTGACAAGGAACTCCCCAAAGGGACGTGGAAGCCATGTGTCCCTGTGGCTGCGGGGAGCCGAGTGGCAGAGGCGCTGCAGGCCTGTGGCCGCGGCTTCTCCCGAGGGCGCCCTGTGACTGCGGAGCCTGCAGGGTGGGCGGTGGGCCTCACCCCTGAGCCCTGCAGTGTAGGGCAGCCACGCTGGTGGAGCTGAGCCGCTGATTGGAAGAACTTGCTGCCTGATTCCGTCGAAAACCACGGGTGCTTCCTTTCTCCACCTCGGCGGCTTCGGGCAGTCTCGTCATAAGAGGGGTTTGAAATGTCTGGGCTATCTGTTAGTTCTGTTTCTCTTGTAGGAGAGACAAGTGGGGTGACCTAATACTGAATTGTAAACTTCTTCGGTACACTTTAAAAATTGTGATAAGTACACATAACATAAAATTTACCATTTTAACCATTTTTAAAAAGAATTGATTTGAGCCCAGCCAGTGTGGCCCAGTGGTTGAGCGTTGACCTATGAACCAGAAGGTCATGGTTTGATTCCCGGTCAGGGCACATGCCTGGGTTGCGGGCTCAATCTCCAGTAGGGGGTGTGCAGGAGGCAGCCGATCCATGTTTCTTTCTCATGGTTGATGTTTCTCTCTCTCCCATTCCCTTCCTCTCTGAAATCAACAAAAAAAATTTAAACACTTGAATTGAGAGGGAAAAACATCGATGTGAGAGAGAAACATCGGTCAGCCACCTCCCACCTTCCACCCGTGCCCAGACTGGGGGTCGAGCCCTCTGCGATGACACTCCACCCAGCCGAGTCTCACACTCCGGGGCCCACTGTCACCATGTTTAAGTGTACAGTTCAGTGGCATTAAGTACATTCACACTGTTGTGCAACCATCACCATCATCCATTTCTGCAGCCTTTCATCTTGCAAAACTGAAACTGCCCATTACCCATGAGCCCCTCCACCTCCCAGCCCCTCACCCGCCCTTCCACTTCCTTTCTGTGTGAGCTCGACTTCTTCACTTTCCTCGTAGAAGCGAAACCCTATTTGTCCTTTGACCCGGCTTATCCCAGCACCGTGTCCTGGGTGCGCCATGTGGTGGCAGGTGCCAGCATGGCCTTCCTTTCTAAGCTGCAGAGTAGCCCCGGTGTGGGTGTCCGCGTCTTCCACAGGCTCGGTGCATAACCTAGTCCCTCCAGGAGCTCTTCTGTCAGAATCACCCGACTTCACACCCCCCACCCCCCAGGGTGGGGGCCCAGTCAAAGCCCACTCCCAGGCAGAAGTCTAAAAGTAGAAGCAGAAGAGAAGGGGGGGATTGGAATAAAGAGTAGGGTCTATGGGGGGCCACCTGGCTTCTAGGGTGCCATGCACACCTGACCACCTCTCCTCCGTCTTCCTGCTGCGTCCCCAGCGGAGCAGACCAGCTCTGCTTTCTCCCGCGCTGTGAGTGGGGTGGGTGCGGCCTCTCACAGGCTCTGGGGTGGGGGTAAAGGTTGCAGTAACGAGCACTCCTGTCCTCCCAGTTGTGGGCAAATCTGTCTTTGGCCGCTGGCTGCGGAGGGGCCTGGGGGCCAGGAGGGGTGAGCTGGTGAAGAAACGCTTCAGTTCCGACTGTTCAGAACGGCCAGGGCCTGGGTCTGGGGGCGACCTGCTGACTCTGGCCCCCGGGATTGACTTCCCGCCTCCCACGGTGCCCCGTCCGCTTGGATCGGGGGAAGGCCACGTCTCCGGTTGCATCCAATCCGACCCCACAGAAGCCCCCTGGCAGTGCCCCTGCCTCTCCCTCCAGGCGCTCTGTACCGGGGGCAGTTTGGGGAGAGCAGGACGATCTGCTGGGAAGGCAGGCGCGTTCACCCTGTGCTGTGCTCTCTTGTGCAGGGGATTCGGAGCCGCCTGACCCCAACGACCCTTCCGGCCAACTGGATGGACACGGCAGCCCTGTTCCAACGCCGAAAGGTAACCTGGGAGTGCTCCCGTATGCAGGCCTGGGGCGGTGCTTCCAGAGCGGTGCCGTCTTTACTCAAGGCTCGCTGCCGCACTGATGGCCGGGGGCCCCGGGGGTGGCACTGCCCATGGGGGGTGTGGTGGCACGCCTACCTCCACAGCTTTCTCCATACACTGCACTGTGGGGAGGTGGGGGCTGGTGAGAGGTGACGGCAGGGTTAGGCGGGTGACCACTGTAGGGAGGGCCGTAGGGCAGGTGGACTCCTGGCTTGGCCACTGCGTCTCCTGCTGACAGGTGGCCGTCCATCTCCTGGGGTTACTCTCGATGTGACTGTCCAGAGTGGAGGGGGTCTCCGCCGGGCACTGCTCTTCTCCCCGGGGTCAGCCGGGGGCTCCTCTCCCCGGGGTCAGCCGGGGCCTCCTCTCCCCGGGGTCAGCCGGGGGCTCCTCTCCCGGGGTCAGCCGGGGCCTCCTCTCCCGGGGTCAGCCGGGGCCTGGTCTCCCCGGGGTCAGCCGGAGCCTCCTCTCCCGGGGTCAGCCGGGGCCTGGTCTCCCCGGGGTCAGCCGGGGCCTGGTCTCCCCGGGGTCAGCCGGGGCCTCCTCTCCCGGGGTCAGCCGGGGCCTGGTCTCCCCGGGGTCAGCCGGGGCCTCCTCTCCCCGGGGTCAGCCGGGGCCTGGTCTCCCCGGGGTCAGCCGGGGCCTGGTCTCCCCGGGGTCAGCCGGAGCCGGAGCCGGAGCCGCGCTTTGTCTTGTTGGTCCTTTGTCTTGTGGATGCTGCCTTCCCTGAGGCGTTGGCCTCCCTCTCACCTGGCGCCCTCTGTAGGCATCTGAGACTTACAGAGTCGGCAGAACGTACTTCCTGCGACTTCTTCTTCACCCACAGTCACCATATCACCTCAGATCACGGCCTCCGTCGGCTCGGCTGCCGTAACCAAACCCCGCACGCACGTGGCTCAGCCGAGGGGAAGGGTCCTCACGGTTCTGGAGGCTGAAAGTCCTGCAGAGGGCGCTGTGTCCCTCGTCCTATGAGGACACTAGGCCCACGGCCCCCCCTCAGGACCTCATCTAATGTAGCCACTCCCCAAAGGCCCACCTCCAACATTTGAATTTGGGGACACGTGTAGTTTATAACAGTTACTATCAGAACAGCCACTTTGTCTGCCTGACCTTGTGGTTTGAAGCCCAGAATCCATCATCGCTTCAGAGCCCCCTTCACTGAGGGTCGGTGCCGCTTAGGGCCTGTGCCTGAGGCTGGTCGTCTGGGGAGTGAGCAGAGGTGGCTGTCGCAGCCAAGGGGCCGGAGGGCGCCTCTGCTACAAGGGCTGCGGGTGTCGGTCACCGGGATGCTGCGCTCCCTTCTCCCCGGGGTGCCTGCGGCGAGCGCGCCATTTGCTTAGAGGTCAGTTGTTTAAGTTGAGGGTGGCTCAGGCTCCGTGATGAGGTTCCCTGTCATGCAGCGAGTGTCCTCAGGACGGGAGTGGCCCCCTCCCTGACCCCTCCCAGTCGTCTCGGGGTCATCGTGACCTCGCTCGCTCGCAGGCAGCCTGGCTGCCTGTGGGAGGCGTCTGTCAGGGCAGAGACGTGTCCCCACGGAGCTGAGGCCGAGCTCGGGAGCCTGTGTGGGGCGCTGGCCTCGGGAAGGGCTCTTAGGAAGAGAGGTCATTCTTGGAGCTTGGGTTCTGGAGCTGTTTCTCAGAGGCTGACGAAGCCGCAGGCCAGGTCAGACAGCCCTCGCCCGTCTGCTGACCGCCCCGTCTGTGCTGGGCCCTGTGCGGCCCAGCTTCTCGTGGTGGAGGCACGGGTGGGCTCTGCCTGGGGGCGGGGCTGGGAGCTGGCGTCCTGGGAAACTGTCAAGCCTGCAATTAGGGGTTGTGGGGAGGAGCCCAAGGAAGGGATGAGGTCGCTGAGTGGAAGGAAAGGGGGCGCATCTTGACTTGGGGACAGGAGGTTGACAGGTGACATTTGCTAAGAGATGATGGGAGGGGTGTGTCCAAGGCCAGTGCGGGGCCCTGCCAGGCCCGAGGCCACGAGGACTCAGTGCCCCGGGCAGCTGAGTGAGGCGGGGTCATGGGCTGGGTGGGCTGAGGCCCAGGGGCCCAGCACGGCCCACCAGCCACGCAGGCAAGTTAAATGAGGGGAAGAACCCAGGTCCTCGGTCCGACCTGCTACATTTTAAGAGCCCAGTGGCCCCGTGTGGCTGAGGTGATGGTGATGGCAGCCCAGACCTGGAACATTCCATCGTCACAGGGAGGTCTGCAGGCAGCTCTGGGAGAGCGAGCGCACACAGCTCCTCAGATGCAGGAGAGACTTCCGCCCCGCTCTTGCCTCCCGCCCCCCACCCCGTGCCCCCCCCATCGCCCCGTGGAAGGGTCCTGTGGGATGTGCCCTCCTCGCCCCGTGGAAGGGTCCTGTGGGATGTGCCCCCCTCGCCCCGTGGATGGGTCCTGTGGGATGTGCCCTCCTCGCCCCGTGGAAGGGGCCTGTGGGATGTGCCCCCCTCGCCCCGTGGAAGGGTCCTGTGGGATGTGCCCCCCTCGCCCCCTGTCTGGGTCCTGTGGGATGTGCCCCCCTCGCCCCCTGTCTGGGTCCTGTGGGATGTGCCCTCCTCGCCCCGTGGATGGGTCCTGTGGGATGTGCCCTCCTCGCCCCGTGGAAGGGTCCTGTGGGATGTGCCCCCCTCACCCCGTGGAAGGGTCCTGTGGGATGTGCCCTCCTCACCCCGTGGAAGGGTCCTGTGGGATGTGGGCCCCTCGCCCCGTGGATGGGTCCTGTGGGATGTGCCCCCCTCGCCCCGTGGAAGGGTCCTGTGGGATGTGCCCCCCTCGCCCCGTGGAAGGGTCCTGTGGGATGTGCCCCCCTCGCCCCGTGGATGGGTCCTGTGGGATGTGGGCCCCTCGCCCCGTGGAAGGGTCCTGTGGGATGTGGGCCCCTCGCCCCGTGGAAGGGGCCTGTGGGATGTGGGCCCCTCGCCCCGTGGAAGGGTCCTGGCGGGATGTGCGGGCCTGGTTTACACTCTGAAGCCGCAGGCGGCTCGGGGGGAAGTGGTGGGGAAGTGGAGGAGCAGGCAGGAGGGAGTGGGCCGGGTGGAGAGAGTGGACAGACGTCGGTGAAGGGCTAAAATCCCTCTGTGGTCATTCTGTAGCCTCTCCCATCCCCTTGGAAGAGCATGCTGCCCCCAGAGCGTGGGCCTGCCTGTGCGCCTGGGCTGGGGCAGGGGCAGGGAGGAGCCAGGAGTGGGTGGGAGCACCGCCGGCCACCACTGTCTCTGACCCGGAGAGGCACAGCTGGATGGGTGCATGCTGACGGGGCAGAAGGACTGGGCTGAGCGCTCAGGGACACGTGCGTCCTCACCTGCCCTCAGCTGCAAGCACTGCTCATCAGAGCCGAGCTCGGCGGCTCCTGGCCACTTTAGGATAGCTGAGCTGTGCTGTCCTCTGTCTGGCTGCCCGTACGTGGCCGGGCAGTTCTGCGGGGGCTTCCAGGCAGAGGTTGGGAGCCTGGACATGCCCACCGCACAGAAACAGCAAGCAGAGGCTCGGCGGCGAGAGGCTGTGTGTCCTGGACAACGTCGCTTCTTTGTAACTGATGAGGGGCCACAGGAACTGATGGTAAAATCGGTCTCCTTGTACGTTGTTTCACTTAAAGCCGCAGATGTCGTCCCGGACGTTAAGGGAGGACTTCCTGTACCAAAGGAAGCCGCGGGCCTGAGCAGGCCGGCCTGGCCTGGGGGCAGCCTGGGGCAGCGGTCTGAGCCGGGGTGGCAGGACAGCAGACCTGGACTGGATGGTGACCTCACCCTCCTGCTGTGGCCAGGGCACTGCTTGGGCCCCATGTCACCCCGCCATTGGAGGGATGAGAGGGCCCAGGGACAGCGCTCGCCCAGCGAGCAGTGGCTGGACGCTGCCATTTGTTGTCATTGCAATGGTGGTCGTTGCCTGTATGTCCGTCACTTTCCAGACATGGCTGCCTCAGCAGCCCCAGAGCCCCAGGGGCCCATGCTTTCCTGGGCACCAGTTCTCTGGTTCTTTGGGAGCCTCCTCCTGGGGTCCTGCCTCCTCTGCACCCCCAATGATGGACTGCAGGCGGTGCCAGGCGCCGATCCCTGCGCTTTCCTGCTGACAGGGCTGCTGGGAGGGTGCTGCCTGGCTTAAATCATAGATTAAAGTAATGCCAGCCGAATGGATGGCATGAGCCGCTGATCCTCCAGTGCCATTGCGGGCAGGGCCTCTGTGAAGTGGCCGAGCAGATCAGGGGCGAGGAGCTGGTGCCCAGTGGAAGGGGCATTTGTGCTCAGATGCACTGGGCCAGGATTGAGCCCCTGGCGTGCACGTGCAGTGGGTTCTGAGAGAGACCTGAGCCTACCTCGCAGGGCGCGGGCGTGGCAGACGTACGATGCCGAGCTGCGGGGTTTGCTTGGAGTGTCCGCGCCACGGCGTGTCACCGTCGGCTCCGGGTCCGGCGCTGTGCTAACGGGCTAGGCACTTGGCAGCAGTTTTTGTGTTCCTTGTTACATTAGATACATTATTTTATTGTTATTACAAAAGCATACGTTTGGCCTGGAAACCATTTACTCATTTGTTCCCATGCACATGCCCCCCACCCCGGGTTTGGTGGACGCGGCACAGGCGTGCTGGTGGCGGGGGTCGTTGTGGAGAGGCCGCGGGGTGCTGTCCGCCCGCAGCCTGCACATGCCCGCTCGCTGACCCTCGTGCTCACTGGAGGGAGGGCGCCGTCCCCTGGCGGAGGGCGGCTGCAGCTCCAGGTGACCTCAGAGCATCTGAATGGACAGAGAAAGCAGCGACCGCAGAGGTCACCGTGTTGGCATGGAAACGAAGCCTGTCCTCTGCTCCTGAGAGCAGGTTCCCCGTTCATGTCGGATGTGGATCCATTAGCATACGTGTTGGGTGCATATCTGGTTTATTATGGAAGAGTGTGTGTGTGTGTGTGTGTGTGTGTGTGTGTGTGTGTGTGAGAGAGAGAGAGAGAGAGAGATTGGTATAGATGAGGGTCTCCGCGGCTGAGGGGGTAAAACTGAGACCAGCACCCTAACTGCAGACACGGCATTAGTTCTGTGATGGGAACGGGGCCCGGCGGAGCTGGAGCCTGGCCCTGCGCCTCCCAGCTGCGTGTCCCCTGCGTGGTGCAGCTGGCGCGTGCAGAGGCCCAAGCCCCCCCCACCTCCTGGGCCAGGCCCCCCGTGGGCTCAGCTCTGGCTGTGCCACTCTGGAGGGGACGGCTGTTGGTCAAGCGCCCCGACCTGCTGGCTGCGGATTTGCAGGCCCTGGGGCTCTCCGAGGTGGACAGAGGGAACGGCGCTGGGAGGAAGCATCAACCCACGGGCTGGTTTCAAAGTGTGCGCAGCACTGAGGTCGAGGATGGGGTCTGGATGCCGCGTGGGAGAGTGGGGCCGCACCTGCTGGGCCCACCGCCGGGCCTTCCTCTCCAGCTCATCTTCCCGAGTGCCCCCTCTGCCCCCAGGCAGCTCCTGCTACCAAAGCCGCAGCCGGGAGAGCGTCGTGCACCTGGCAGCCACTGCCGCCGCCGGTGCCTGCTGAAGTGACGCGGGCAGGCGCTCTTCCTTCTCAGCTCGCGGTGCACGGTGCTGCACGGCCTATTCATGTTGCTTGTCTCATGGCAGCCACCGGGGGCGGGGCACGATGTCCCTGTCCCTTGTGAGGCTGTGAGTGTCACCCTGAGCCTGGGGCAGTCTCCTTCCCTGCCTCAGTCCTGCCAGAGCGAAGCCCCACAGACCCAGTGTCCTGAGGCTGGGCGCCCACGCCCAGGGCTGCTCCCTGTAGCTCCCGGAGGAGCTGCCCGGCCTCCCCCTGTGGCTGGCCACCCCTGCCCCTGGCTGGGCAGCACCCCTCCCCTCTGTGTGGTCACCTGGCCTCTTCTCTGTGCCTGGGCCCACGTGTCCTTCCTACAGGACACCAGCTATTGGAGCAGGGCCCCGTATGACTTCATTTCAACTTCATGGCAACTGCAATGACCCTGTTTCCAACAAGGTCCCGTTCACAGTTCCAGGACCAGAACTGCACCCAGCGCACGGCTGGCTCGCCCAGCGCCCTCCCCACGTGCGGCGGGCTCGGCACGTCTCTCCACCCCAGGGCCATGCGGCTCTCCGTTTCTCATCCTCTGATCCCCTTCTTGTCTCACACCCTCTCCTCCTGCCCCTGCTGCTCTCCTTTAAGCAGCGTCCTCTCCTTCATGTGACTGGCCCTGTGCAGACCACCAGACCCACGCCCCACGGTGGGTTGACCTGGCCATGCCCAGGGGGAGCAGCTCTGTGGCCTCCTGTGGCTCAGGGTCTCCAGTCACCACCCTTCCAGGCAGGTTGTGTGTTTCGTTGCCACCGATTAGAGTAAAACCCGGGGCCATTGCTTCCCCTCGTAGATGAGGCTTCCGTGCCCCTCAGACCTCACACATGAGTAACCTGGCCAGCTGGCGAGTGAATGGGCGGTCAGTGGGTGAAGAGTCAGCGGGCGCTGATCTGCCGGGAGCAGGAGTGGTCCCCCCTGCCTCTGGTGTGTCTCTGTCCGGGACTCACCCACTGCCTGGGTGAGCAGCACGTGGCCTGGTGGCAGAGGCAGAACTCAGCAGCCGCAGTTCTTACCGTCCTCTGCTGGGAGGAAGGGGCCCTCTGGGGTGACTAAAGGGGGAGACTTCGCTCTCTCCGACCCCATGGAGTGCTGGCTGCACCCCTAGAGGCCGGTTCTCAGTCACCAGGCCTGGCTCCTCTGGGCTGCTCGGTCGTGTCTGCAGGTCGGGGGTCCGTGTGCGGAGGTCGGGGGCCGCATGCAGGCAGCCTCTGGGAGCGAGGGGAGAGCTTAGCGGGGCTCAGCACCACCCTCACATGTGCACATGAGGGAAAGGAAGCCGAGTGGTTAGTGGCCAGCTGCGAATTAACCAGGGAGCGAGCAGGGCCTCAGCCTCAGAGAGCTTGCTTTCTAGCTCTCATTCTGGCCTGCCGTGAGGGAGTCTGCTCACTGGCATCTGCCGGCGCCTCCTTGTCCCGTGGGCGAGAGACCTCGGGGGTCGGAGACCTGGGACTGGAACTGCAGGCGGCACCCCCGCTGTACCAGGTGCCCCTAGCCCCCAGCAGAGCACTGTCCTCACCCGTGTTTCCCAGAACTTCAAATGCTGCCAATGACTCGGGTGTCCAGGAGTGATTCAGAGTAGTTTTACATTAGATTTGCCCAGTTAGTGGTGAAGAACATGTTTTTGTTGGTTTAATATCCATTGAATTGCCCATTCACAGAGTTTACCCTCCTTGTTTGAGGATTTCATGCCTGCAAATTCTGTTACTTCACTACAGTGTCTTTGTAACCCTGAGTCCATGCTCGGCTGTTTTCATGGTCACGTATGGCTTGTGCAGAGCGCTTGGCCCAGCGGGGGCAGGCCTTCTTGTTGACGGCTGAAAGCAGGTATCTGGGTGTCTTTTTTGCTTCTATAATTGCAACAATGTTTCTTAAACTGCAGCTCAGAACCCAGCAGCAGAAGGCGGGGAACCTTGGCTTCCTCCATCATGGAGCAAGCAAGCCTCCTGTTCGCTTCACTGCCTGGCTGCCGGCTGCCATCTTGGATGGCAGTTAATTTGCATATCGCCCTGATTAGCCAATGGGAAGGGTAGCGAAGTTACGGCTAATTACCATGTTTCTCTTTTATTAGATAGGACTAGAGGCCCGATGCACAAAATTCATGCAAGGGCCAAGCCAGCGGCTTACCTCGGCCCTCACAGCCCTGACTTCATCCGAAAGGTCATCTGGAAGGACATTCGGAAGGAAGTCCAGTCTAATTAGCATATTATGCCTTTATTATTATAGATAATAATCATACATAATAACCAGTGTGAATGAGTGACACCTCTCCAGCAGATACCTCCAGTCTCCCTTGTGAAGGGAAGCCGTCCTTTCGACTTGAAATTCACAACCTCCCACCCCCTCAGCTACCTCCCCCTCAGCCCCCACCCCCTCAGCGTGAGAGGGGCCGTCACACCCTGTGAAACGTCCCGAGAGCCCACTAGGAATGCCATCATTGTCTGTCCAGTCAAATCAGGAATAACAGAGACATGCCATCTTTCCATTTTTAAAAAAGAATTAGGGGCCAGCCAGAAATCAAGCCAAAAGATTCAGAACATGGACATGTTTTACAGTCATTTTCAGATTGAGCTGTGATCTCAGCTTTGTCTGAAGTGAGTTCATCCCCTGATGATTGATGTCTTGTCTTTCTAATCTTGTGGGTTTTATGTGAGTGGAATTTTAGCATGTGTGTGTGTTTGTTAATTCCCACTTGAGGATATGTTTTTATTGATTTTAGAGAGAGAGGAAGGGAGATAGAAATATCAATCGGTTCCTCCCATATATGTCCAGATCCAGATGGAACCTGAGGCCCTTCAGTGTGTGGGACAAGGCTCCAAGCAACTGAGCCCTGGCCAGGGCTGTGTGTGGGTTTATCTTAAAAGAGAATAATCCCCAGCCCTTGACCTACACCACACACACACACACACACACACACAAGAGAGAATAATCCCCAGCCCTTGACCTACACCACACATGCACACGCACGCGCACACACACGCACATGCACGCATGCACACACACCACCACGTGTACACCCCCAAACATACCACCCTGCACACCTCACCTGCCCTGCACACACTCTCCTCTGGCTCCTCAGGGCCTGTGTTGCCGCTGAGCTTAGGGCAGTGTTTCCAGCTGCCCTCCCCCCCCGCCCCCCAATCTGTGTTCTGGGTACTTCCCTGGAGGGTGTGAGCCCTGGACAGCTTCTTCCTGCCCCCAAGCTGGGTTGGTGGCCAGAGCCGTCAGCGCACTCAGCCTGGCCTTCTGCCTGCCTGGCCGGTGGCTGGCTGCTCTGAGGGCGACTTTGGGTGGCGAGAGGAGGGATGGGCTTTCTGAGCGCGAATGTGCATCGTAAGTTAGTGAGATGAGATGTGGTTCATATCAGTGTGTTCACCTCCTGCCTGTATTTGTAACCCCAAGTCCACACTCACGCACGTCTTGTCGCTCACAGGCATGCGGAGCGGAGACCTGAATCGCAGCTGCACGCGACCCAGCGGGGGTTGGAGGGGCAGCACTGCCGGCCTGTCCGCTCCCCGCTAACAAGGCCCCAGGGCCTGGAGTCCTGAGACTCCACATTTTGTTGGTGATTTCACTGTTGAAGATGCTCAGCGCTCAGTAATGGTGCTGAGTGCTGTCCTGGGAGAGGCTGCGAGGCCCGTGGAGAAATCCCTGGAGGCAGCCCAGCTTCCTCCGGGCGGGAGCACGACGGGGGGCTCAGCAGTGGGCACTAGCCGGGGCGCCTCCAAGCAGAGCCCCTCAGACAAGGTCCTGCGTGGTCGGGTGATGCGTGCTAGGGCCGCAGGCTCCGTCCCAGCCGTGGCTCTGATCCCGAGCCGTGTTCTCGGCAACATTCCAGGACGGTTCCTGCGGGGCGAGCCTGGGCGCAGGGCTGTGGGAGGGGGCGCGGCGGCCGGCACGGAAGGCGCCTGAGCTGGCTCCTGTGTGACACTCCTTGGCAGGTTACTTTCTGAACTTCCTGGAGCCGGTGAACAACATCACCATCGTCCAGGGCCAGACGGCCACTCTGCACTGCAAGGTGGCCGGCCACCCGCCCCCCAGCCTGCGGTGGCTGAAGAACGACGCCCCGGTGGTTCAGGAGCCGCGGCGCGTCATCATCCGCAAGACGGAGTACGGCTCTCGGCTCCGCATCCAGGACCTGGACACGACAGACACCGGCTACTACCAGTGCGTGGCCACCAATGGGATGAAGACCATCACTGCCACCGGCGTCCTGTTCGTGCGGCTCGGTGAGTGGGGACAGGCTGGGCCTGGTTTGCAGGGAGGGCGCTTCACAGCCACCAGGGGAGAGTCACTGGCAGCTTGAAACAGCACACACCCCAGCAGCGGGACAGCGGTCAGCGTGCCGGGCCGGCGTGCCCTGCCCTCGCACTAGTAAGAAAAGGGAGGGACACGGTGGACACGCTGGACGAAGGACATAATCCCGGGTTAGCGGGCAGGTCGTAGGCCACAGAGTCACCCTGCGGGAGGCCCCCACGCAGCCTGAGCCCCCACAGGCCTGGCACCTACCAGCCCACAGACCCCTGGCCCGGCAGGGGTGGGGGAGCCAGCGTGAAGACAGCTCTGAACTCTGTGCTAGGTACATGGCTGGAAGGAGGGTGTCCCCTCGCATCCCCCTTTTGAGAAGGTCCCTGGAATGCCCCAGCCTGTCTGTCACCGATTAGGAAAATGGGTCTTGTGAATCAAGGTTAGATGTGGAGAGAGAAAGAGCAAAACAGTGAAAACTACAAAAATAGGTCCAAAAGTCCTGGCCAGTGTGGATCAGCGGTTAGAACGTCTGCCCTCACACGAAAGGGTCTCGGGTTCAATTCCCAGTTAAGGGCTGGGACCTGAGTTGCAGGCTCCAGCCCAGCCCTCATGCGGGAGGCAGTCAATGGCTGTGTCTCTCTCACATCGATATTTATCTCTCTGTCTCTCGCCCTCCCTTCCACTCTCTCTGAAAAAAATCAATGGAAAAATACCCTCGAGTGAGGATGAACAACAACAAAACCACATAAAAACATGTCCAACAGAGAGCGCCCTCCGGGGTGCGGCTCCCCGCTCCGGGCACAGCCTCCAGGGGCCAGGGCCTGGCTGAGGCAGCTCCCCACGGCGCCCTGCGCTGCTGCGCCTTCACCGATGCGGGGTTGGAAAGAAGTTTGATTCCAAATCATGGAGCATTAATAACATGTCCTTTTTTCCTTTTTAGGTCCCACACACAGCCCAAACCATAATTTTCAGTAAGTATCTGTTTTCCTGAAACCATTCTCTCGTTCTCTGAGGCTCCGTTATGTAAGAATCCAGGTTTAAATCCAGCAAGCACATGTTTTTACTGAATTTGCTGGAAGTCGGCTGGACTTCACTCGAGGATGGCAATGCGTTTGCTGTGGGCTGGGAAACGATGGCCTGTTCCAGTTGGTGTTAGGAAAAACGTCATAAAAACAGAGATTGCCAGGTCCTTTCATCTCGCGTGGCCCCCACACGCCTGGTGGAGCATCCACACGGGGCCGGCCGCGGGCACCAGCCTGGTCTTCAAACGCATTTGGAACCAGGGAGGCCGTTCTCCCTGAAACCCAGCACCGCCCAGCCAGAGGCGGCCGGGCCCGCTTCCCGGCACAGCCCCGGCTCAGAGCCTCGCCAGGTCTGCACGGGGCGTGCGCTCAGGCCTTTCCGGGACAGCCTTTCCACGCGTGCACCGTGGGGTCCCCTCTGGACCCCATGCTCTCAGCGTGGCCTGAGGATGGCTCGGCAGGCCTGTGTGAGGTTGCAGTGGTGGGTTCCTCGTTGCCTCCCCGACACAGGAGGCACGGCTGCACCGCAGTGTTCTGAGGGGACACGCTGTGTGTCCCTGTCCCCCGGGTGCCGCAGGAGCGTTGGCCTACCAGTGGGCTTGGTGAGGCCGCTCCCAGCACAGCAGGTGCCCTGGCGGAGAGCAGCTGGGGGAGGGGCTGCGCTCAGGGGCCCTGCCCAAGCCTTGCCCCTTCATCACGCATGTGCGTCGTGAGGAAAGAAGTTGCACAAAGGGAACATCTGTGAGGCTTTAGAAAAGATACGTCATTTCGAACGAGTTTTTCTTTTCTTTATTTGTATCATTAACTAATTTACATAATAAGTATATAACAGACAGTATATTGTAAGAGCAGCAGTCGCCCACCTTTCGGACCTCACGGACCACCGGCTGGCGACCGCTGTTATAGAGTATACAGATATGGCTTATATGTAATTATAATGTAATTCACTAAATGTATAAATATCAAATGCATTTACATAAGTTTTATATAAAAATTTAATATTTTTACACTTATTTTCTTCTCATTTTAAATTATGGATCAAATCAACACATTTGTCCAAATAATTCGTGCAGTCCTGGCAGAGTGACAGTTCATCAGTCCTGTCCCTCGGGCCTGTGCCCAGGCCCCGTGGCCAGGTGGGTGTGCAGGCGCGGCCTCTGCCCTGGGTACACGTGTGGGCCCAGGAGACACAGCACCACTTGCCCCCTCTTTTGCATGAGTGGTAGGATAGTTAACTGTCAGTGCATTTTAAATCCCCCTGGCCGCACCCACGGGGCGCCCGCCTCTGCCCTGGGCATTCTGCATGTCCACGCCCTCACTGGCCCCGAGGCCTTGTGCCCCTGGAACGTGGACAGTCTCTCTCGGGGACTCTGAAGAGCAGAGCCTGGAGGGCACACGTGTGCACAAGTCGCTTCCCTGCCACACCTGAGAGGACCCGCGTCTCCTTGTCCCCAGTGTAGCCCCACGGTTGTCTGCCCACTCCCTCCCGTCACGCTGTCCCTCTGAGTGCTGGCCAGCTGTCACCCTGTCACCCCGAGTGCTCGGCGTGACACCCCCAGGCTGCCCCTGCCTCTGGCAGTGTCTCTTCATAGTCCTTGCCTGTTGCCCTTACATTGTTTCTTGGTGATTTTTAATAATTATTCATCTACTTTTTGATAACATAGAAATTTAAATTTTCTGTTATTTGTCAATAATTATATGGGTTTTCATGTGTCTTATTAAGGAACACCCTAATTTCCTTGAAATATTCTGATAGTGTTTTGATTGAAATTGCAATGAATTTTTAGATAAATTTGGGAAAAATTAATATTTAATTGAATTGTCAAGGACCACTTCCTTCATTCTTTAAAATGTCCTTTTCTCCCTAACATTTATTTTGAAAATTTTCAAACAAATGGAAAAGTAGAAAGAGTTTTATAGTGATCATCCAGTCCGAAACCTACCAACTGGACCCTGCTGTTTACGGCACTTCCCCTGCCAGCGTTCTTGCTTCTTCCCGCCGCCTCCACCCAGCGGGAAGCCATCTTTTTATTCACTTCACAAGGTGCAGATATCTGTGCACTCCCTGAAACTTTTCAGCAAGGAAGCCATTAACAAGTTCAATATCTGAACATTCTTGTTTCATTTGTGAGTTGACCTACAGACAATGACATGCGCAAATCTTAAGTATTCCATTAACAACGTCCAACCAATGCAGAAACCTCTGCAATCCAACCCTGGTCGGGCCCAGAGAGTCCCATCCCTGGGAGCTCAGGTGACCGCCTAGTCCACGCCCCTCCTCCCCTGCCAGCCACCGTTCTGGTGGTGTTCTGCCGTGGACAGTTCTATGTGTTTTAGGACTTCATAGACACGCAGCCACAGCACAGAGCCATGCAAGCCTGGCTTCCCGCACGGGGCGTCGCCTTCGAGAAGCATCGGGCCGTGTGTGTCAGGGCACTGCGTCCCGCTGGACAGTGCTGCTGGACGCTGGGCCCGGGGCACCCACTCCCGCTGGTATGAACGCGATGGACTTCTCTCACGGTGTTGTGTGGACATGTAAGCATCTCTGCTAGGGAATGCCTCGGGGTAGAACTGCTGGCGTGCAGGGTCGGTGCCTGCTGTTCTGTAAGAGGTACTGCCTTCCCCGAGGGGGCGTGCCCTTTGCACTCCTAGTGGCGGGGAGAGGTTTCGGGGGCTGCACGCACGCACCAGTAGTTGGTCTGGTCAGTCTTTGTAACTGAGCCCTTCTGGTGTGTGTGATTCCTGGAATACTTAGGATTCCTACACTGTTTTGTGAGTTTTAACTCTTTATGTTACTGACTTCTAAAAAATTACTTTTATCAGTCGTTTTTAATTTCAAACAAATCTACTTGACATGGTGGCGCTTCCTCTGAATGCCACTTTGGCTGCATCCCCCCGGGCCCAGGGACACGGGCTCTCCGTTTCCTGTTCTTGTTGAATTTTATCAGTGAACTTGGGGTGTATTTTACTTTTGATAATTCGTTAAAGGTGTTCTTTGTGACCAGTTAGATATGTTCAATTTTTGTGAACATGTCCTGTTGTTTCAACAAATAACTGTTTCCTGGTGGTGGCCACACATACCTTGATTTACATCGTAGATCACGTGTGTGAAGTGTGTTATTAACACCGGCTGTTTTCTTTGTCACGTGGGTTACAGAACCTGGAAATGTGTGAAAGCCGTCGTGCTCGTTCTGGCCTTGCCAGTGCCCACCAGCTGTCTGTTTTAAAGGGGCCTGGGTGTGCGCCAGGCCCGTGGGCCCGAGGCTGCATGGCTTTGGCTGTGTTTGTCTGGAAGTCACTATTAACGCTCTTCCCCTGGAGTTTAGTTTGCCAGAGAGTGACACTGCCACCGGCTTTCTCTTCGTTTGCATTTGCTGCAGACTTCTCTTCCTCTTCCTGTTCCACTGTCCCCCAGCCTCTTGGCATCCGTTTTATGTGGGTATCTTATAAGTAGCCCATAAGTTCGTATTTTGGAGGCTGGTAAGGAGGATTTCCCATCTGGAAGTTCAGTTGCTACATGCAGGCTGTTGTCGTGTTCACAGATGTGTGCACAGCACTCACTGCACTGGGAGCCCGCCCCGCCCCGCCCCGGCGTCTGTGCGCCTGTACGCCTGTGAGTGAGGGAGTCTGCTCACTGGCATCTGCCGGCGCCTCCTTGTCCCGTGGGCGAGAGACCTCGGGGGTCGGAGACCTGGGACTGGAACTGCAGGCGGCACCCCCGCTGCGACCAGGTGCCCCTAGCCCCCAGCAGAGCACTGTCCTCACCCGTGTTTCCCAGAACTTCAAATGCTGCCAATGACTCAGGTGTCCAGGAGTGATTCAGAGTAGTTTTACATTAGATTTGCCCAGTAAGTGGTGAAGAACATGTTTTTGTTGGTTTAATATCCATTGAATTGCCCATTCACAGAGTTTACCCTCCTTGTTTGAGGATTTCATGCCTGCAAATTCTGTTACTTCACTGCAGTGTCTTTGTAACCCCGAGTCCATGCTCGGCTGTTTTCACGGTCACGTATGGCATGTGCAGAGCGCTCGGCCCAGCGGGGTCCCAGCGGGGGCGGGCCTTCTTGTTGGAGGTCTGTTTCGTGTTAGGCTGTTGGTGGTGGTTTTGCTGTTGAAATGGCCCCAGCAGGTGCGGAATTGCAGCCCTGCTCCTGGGGGAGAAGCGGAGGCTGCTGCCTGGAGGGTGCTGTCATGAGCCTCCTCGGGCCCAGGCCCAGCTCCGCTGGCCGCGAGCACAGCGTCAGTGACACAGCAGAAGCCACAGACACAGGCCTAGGGGAGGTGGGACAGCGAGCAGGTGGCGGGCTGTCCTATGTACAGTCCTCAGGTTGGGCTCCCTGCTGTGGGTTCTGAACTCGGACAGGAGTGGCCGGGTGGCTCAGCCCTCTGCGCTGCCCCTCCACCCGCTGCCTGCTGCCCCACGACCCCGTGGACACAGCTTTTGCGGGACATCCGTGTGTGTGCTGGGAGATGTGGGCGTGGAAATCCTCAAAGGCTCAGGGAGTTTCCACCATTTAAAAGTTGTTTCCTTCCGCCCACTGGGGGTGGGGTGAGGGTGTGTGTGTATGGAGAACAGAAGCTTTAAGAGAGGCTGTTCCCCCACAGACGTGGTTCAGAGACGGTGATTATAGCTCACCCAGGCCGGTGCGCAATGCCCGGGGTCATTTCCTATTTCACGTGTGGGTTTCATTCTCTGCTCTTCCAAAGAGTGGTTCCTTTTCACAATTACAGAGCCCATGCACCCGGGTGGCGGCCTGGTGGCCTGGAGGCGGGTGTGGGTGTGGGTGTGGGTGGGTGTGGGGTGGTGCAGGGCAGGTGCTCCCTGAAGCCTGGCCATCAGGCTCCCTGCTGCCTGAGGTGTTGCTGGGGCAGCCGTGGGCCCCACGGTGCTTCTGCACAACTAAAAGTTACGTTAACTATCGAATTCTGGGAAACAGGAACCTTCCTTG